CAGTCCAGGTGGGAAGCAAGGACAGGAGGATCAACACAAGTCCCAGGCAGTTCTCTGTGCAGTAAGTTCCAGGCCAACATCTATACAGTAAGTCCAAGGCCAACCTTGTCTACACAGTAAGTCCCAAGCCAGTACTATCTACACAGTAAGTCAAATCCAAGGCCAGCTTTGTTTACAGAGGAAGTTCCAGGTCAGCCAGGGTAATGATAAAGTAAGATTCTTTCTCTAAACAAAAGAAGAGTGAGTGGGTTTGTCAACCAGACCTTTTGAAATGTGAATCTCTGCTTTACAGTTTACAATCCTGCGGCTATGAACAAGTTACAGCTCTCTGTTACCCCACTTGTTCTAGCTCACTGTGAGCAGGACTTTCTCAGGCCTATGTTTGGTGCATATGGTGCCCAATGAGTGTGTGTGTGTGTGTGTGTGTGTGTGTGTGTGTGTGTGTGAGAGAGAGAGAGACAGAGACAGAGACAGAGACAGAGAACTGGCTGTCTGACTGCATAAAGGATGGCCTTCCAGGTGGCACCCACGAATGTGAAAGAGATCGGGTTCTGAAGGTGGGTCTGGTTCCTCTCACTCTCTAAAGAGTGTGGGTTATAACCCTTGGTAGCAAGGCTATAGATAACTTTTCAGCAGAAAGACTGCTGGTTAGAATTGCATTAAAGGAGAAGGGTTCAAGCCTGGGCAGGTGATGGCACCTGGTCCAGAGCTAGCCCTGTCATGAGAGACTTGGCGGCTTGTTGCCTGTGCATTGTGAGGAAACAACTGATGTGGCTACAGGAAGGCAATGGGCCATAGGTAGAATGTTGTCTGTAACTCTGCTGAGCACCTACAGAACGGTCCCATGGGGCAGGAGGACCCTGAGGACAACTGTCCTGCCAGGGATTGCATGCCACCACTGAAGATGACGGTGAGGGCAGGGGCAGGCACCTAGCAACTGCCTGGAGCAAAGCCAAGTGCATGACCTTTGACTGTGACTCATTCCTTCCCTTTGGCCCGAGTTGCAGTCAGACCTGGATGATCATCACAGCCTTCACCTGACATGAGACAACTGACTGGTTGAGAACCACACTGCTGTGAAGCAGACAGGCTCAACCTGATCTGATACATATGGACATGAACTTGCTCATTTTGACCGATAGATGAATATGTTTGAGTTAGGAGACATGGCCAGCAGGCCCAGGCCACTGCCCAGATCAAGTCACTGTAAAGGGAGGAATGTTGCCTTTGTGCCAGACTAGAGTCCAGAGGCCCTATGGACAGAACACACCTGAAACAGGCCCAGCACAGATCAGCCTGCTGGCCTAGGACTGCTGTCCCTCAGCATTAGCAAGCCCTAATGACAGCAGAGACCTGCATGAGCTGGGAGACAAGAGCCATTGCCCAGCAGCCGGAGGTGAAGGAGTCAATGTTGTACTCTGGGAAGCTAGTGACCAAGTTAGTCTGGGCAGTGGTGGCACACAGCCAGCACTTGGGAGACAGAGGCAGGTGGATGCCTGTGAGTTTGAGGCCAACTTGGTCTACACAGCTAGTTCTAGGACAGCCAAACCTGCACAAAGAAACCCTGTCTCAAAAAATAAATAAAAATAGCAAGTTACTTTCATGGTTAAAAAGCAAAACATGACCCCACTGTTCTCAGACTCCATCCTCACAGGGCGCATCTCCTCAGGGCACGTCAGAAGGGAGTCCAGTTCAGGATTCTGTGCCTCTCAGTCCCCGAGGGACTTGGACTGGGGAGCAATGGTCTGCAGGGCCCATCAGCCTCCCTATAGCCAGCTTCCACCCAGACTGCCAGAAGCTTCCTGCCTTTGCTCTACCTCCTCGTTTTCCCCCTCCTGTTTAGGTCACAGTCCCCTTCCCCTCTGCTTGTCACCAGGCTGTCATCTTGCCACACTAATTAGACTGCTTCTGCCCCTGCCTCAGTCCCAACTGGGAGTTCCCAGCTTTCCCTGCCCAGCCCCTGGCCTTCCCACAGGGCTATGTCCCTTCTCAAACTTCTGCTGTCTCCCCAGAAGAATAAGGTGCTCAGTTACCAGCAACAGCAGCAGCAGCAAGAGGACTGTGGTCAGGGAGGGCAGGGGGGAGCTGATCCCAGAGAGAGCCAGGCAGCAAGGCAGGCAGAAGACCAGCCAGCTTCACCACAGGATGGATGGAGGTTTTTGTTTTCTTCAGCTACCCTTCACCATGGTTAGTGTTTTGTTTTGTTCTGAGTTTTGGGGGGTTTGGTTTTGTTGTATTGTAGCTCTGGATGGCTTTGCTATGTTGACCAAGGCTGACCTCAGACTCACAGAGATCAGCCTGCCTCTGCCTCTGCCTCTGCCTCTCTTCACCTCCACCTCCGCCTCCGCCATGCTGAGATTAAAGGGGCCACCTCTGTGGCCTGCCTAGGTGCTGTTTTAAGGTGCTGACCCCTCTGTCTTGGTTTCCTCACTAGTGAGATGAGATAGTAGTGTACAACTCGTGGGGTGACAGTTAAGTCTGGTGTTTTACGTAACTAGTTACACTGGTGATTATACTTATAGCTCAAGAGGGTAAAGTATTACAGACGGGGTTGTAGTCAAAGAGTAGGGCACCCTGGAAAGCTATGAGGCCCAGGAAAGGCATGCTCATTTTCATGGGAGGTGTACATGGGGAGGGAGAGAGGACAGCGCACAATGAGAGGTGGAATCGGCAGAGTGCTGTGACTGTCAGACGTGGGTCTGAGGGCAAGGATGGCTCAGGACCTGCTAGCCATCTGACTAGCCTTTGAAAGAGGGGCAGGCTTCGTGTTTAAGCAGCGCCTGCCCCCAGGCACCCGGTAGCAAGTCATAACCTGGCCTCCAGATGACAAGTGGAGCACAAAAGCCACCCTCAGTAGATATTTGTGGAAAGAATGGCCTTTCTTCTGGTCTTCTAAAGGGATATTTTCCTGAACTCCTCCCCTGGGGGTAAACCAGTGGCAAAGCAACTGCCCTTCCATCTCAGCCTCCTGTCAGACGTGTGGGCCACACAGCGCTGTCTGCAGGAACCACGGTGGAACTGAAGACTGCCTGCCCAGCCCAGCAGGGGCATTGCTGCTGCTTGGAAGAGGCAGGGCCCCACTCAGCCATGTGGAGATCACCCTCGTCCTGTTGAGAGTATGCCGGGGCCTGTTCTGGGTACCGTGGGGCGAGAACTGAACCTTTTTGTCCTCCAGGCATCTCAGCCTGGAGTGGGCTGGCATACAAATAACTATGCAATGGTAAACCGTCGGCACCACCCAACAATAAAGACTGTCTTCCTTGTGAGGCAAGTGACAACACCCGCCAAACTGGCTGGGCAGCAGGTGTGTGAGTACACCACATCTCCAGTCTGTCTGAAAGCCAGAGGAGACAGATGGCAGCTAAGGAGGAGGGGAATCTGAGCAGACACCAAAGATTCTCACCTCTGAATATCGACTGTTAGCCTGCCCCACAGCTTACACATGGTAAACATACATCTGCTATGCTGGCCCGGGCATGACAGGAGGTTGTGTGTGAGTAATAGACACGGCAGTGTGTGTGCATGGAGGGTTGGTGAAGGTTCTCCCATTGTCTGGATTCATCATTCACTTAATACCCCTTGGTGCTCTGTGAGATGGGGTCTTATGTAGCCCAGGTTGGCTTTGGATTTGTGTAGACCAGGCTGGCCTTGAACACTCACTCTCCTTGCCCCTGCCTCCCAAGTCCTGGGATTATGCATGCACGCCATCATGCTCACCTACCCATTATAAGCCTTGAGAACTTTGTAGCTGGTTCCTGGCTCAGAGATCCAGGATCACCCTAGCATGAAAACACCATGAGGGGTGGAAGTTTTTACACAGCATTATGACACTGTGTACACAGCTGATTACAATCGAGGGTGTTGTTTTATGTGTTATAACTTTTGTGTCAGCTTATGAAAGGTTGGGCTAGGAAGGTAACTCAGTGGCAGAGCAGTTGCCTGCCATGCATGATGCCCTGTTTTCAAGCCCCAGTAGGAAAAGAATAATCCCCAGCCAGCATTCACTGTACAGCCGTTCCGAGATGGTGCCATATGAACATTGGCTGTCTTGGAGACTGTTCTTCATTGGCCCAATCCATGGAGAGAAACTGCCTCACGGTGGCCTGGAAAGCCAGGTCCTATAAAGAATGCCCAGGAGAGAGAAGAAACTGTTATACCGCTTACATGTGGTGAAAACACCACACACATTGCTATGCCAGCCCAGGTGACAGGAGGTGGACACAGTGTGAGTGTCATGTGTGGGGGCTATAAGAAATGAGACCTGGGGCTGGGCGTTGGTGGTGCATGCCTTTAATCCCAGCACTAGGGAGGCAGAGGCAGGCGGATCTCTGTGAGTTCGAGACCAGCCTGGTCTACAGAGCTAGTTCCAGGACAGTCTCCAAAGCAATACAGAGAAACCCTGTCTCGAAAAACCAAAAAAAAAAAAAAAAAAAAAAAGAAAAAAGAAAAAAGAAATGAGACCTGGAGCAGGGACTGAGGTGGTTGCTCCCCATTGAATGCTTCTTTGGAACTTTTTAATGTTTCAACCACATTGCTACTTCTAGCTCAAAATATAATATGAAGAGGAGCATATCACCTACACAAATAAATAAGGAGGAACATATTACCTACACAAATAAATAAGGAGGGGCATATCACCTACACAAATAAATAAGGAAGAACATATCACCTACACAAATAAATAAGGAAGAACATATCACCTACACAAATAAAGGTCTCTGCTTGCCCTTTTACAAACAAGTGCTCTGAGGCCAGGGCTGTCTCAATTCTTGGCCCCCGCTATCCACTTGTGACTCTGAGCCACAGATTCCTTATCCATGAACAAGCAAAGTCACTTCTGTCCTCCCATGGCTGGTACAATCCAGTGACAAGTGGGACAACATGTCCCTGGGTGCCCAGAAAGCATCCACGATCTTCTGCCTTATCTGTTCCCTTCTCCACTCTTTGAGTGTGCCCATTTAGTACTCCCCATAACTTTGTAACTCACGGTTTCTTCACAGAGAAAGCTACAGATGGCTCCTTACAGAGCGAGGACTGGGCCCTCAACATGGAGATCTGTGACATCATCAACGAGACTGAGGAAGGGTAAGGTCCCTGTGGAGGAGGGATGTGGGAGGTGGTACAGGCTGTGACAGACAACCATAATGGTACACACCAGCACTGATTCATGCCTGTGTCCCTATCCCCCGCTGTTGTAGTCACAAAGTCTAACCCTGCTGTGCAGTATCCTGACCCCATCCTAGACAACAACATGGCATTGTAAACATCTTTGGGCCTTGATCTAGTCCAGTGCCTTTATCAGGTGGATGAAAAGCTCAGAAATGTTCAAAGACACAGTGTGAGCCAAGTGATGGTGACCCACAATTTTAATCCCAGCACTCAGGAGGCAGAGGCAGGTCGATCACTGAGGTCAAGGCCAGTGTTGTCTACGGAAAGAGTTCCAGGACAGCCAGAAACCCTGTCTCAAAAAATAAAGACACAGTGTGTGGTCAACTGGCCCCTAGGTGCATCACCTCCCTGGGACAAAGCCAGCTGGAGATTCACAGTTCCTGTCTGCATGGTGAGAACTGGAAGCCTAGGTCAACAGATCTCCTCTTCCCTGAGATTAGAAACCAGCAGGGCGGCCAGGGAGTGCAGACCGCGGTCAGAGCTGCAGAGCCCAGTGGTGCCTGCAGGCAGCTGGCTGTGGGGCTCAGAATGCTGAGCACAGCCAAAGCACATGGCGTGGGAGAGGTGTTGGAGTCCTGTCTTCCTCTGCCTAATGCGTGCGGCCAACTGTGTGATGGGACCATGGGCAAGTGACCTTAGCTCTCCAGGGCTTTCCCCTCACAGGCAGAGCTCTTCAATCCTGCCAAAACTCTAGTCTAGGTCCTTGAGTGGGCCAGAAAGTAGGATGAGGTGGAGTGTGGGTAGCCATGGCAGGCAGGGATGAGGCTGGTAAATCAGAGCATCCTCCCAGTAAGTGCAGACTGACACAAGCGCCAAGAGGCAGGGAGTACAGCGGAACTGCAGGGAGACCTCGGTTGTGCTGTGTGGCTCGCTCCCACATCTGCGTCTGGACTGGGGAAGGGTGGGTGCAAGCGGGTGGACGTCAAGAGAAGAAAACAGGAGGCAGACATGCTGGCTGAGCCTCTGCAAAAGCCTGGCAGCTTTATGGTGGTGTGCTGTAAGTCACTGCAGTATCTTTGCAGACAGTGCTCCCGTCTCCATAGTGAACTTGGGAAGCATTGTATTCAGAGTTCATCGACTATGTTTATTTGGGCACTTTAAATATTCCAGGCACTGCACAGGGCATCGAGGAGCCAGCAGTGGGCAGCGACAGGCATGACTCTTGGCCTCACCAATCTCACCTAAACTTTTGTGTCTCTGCTGGAATCCTACCATTGCCATACGTTTTTTCTATCATTGGGCATACATGGTCCACTGCCAGTGCTGTCCCCTGTTCTCCAGGACACCCTGTAAGTAAGAATGAGTACTTTTCAAGCACTAAAGTAGTCCACAGGTTAGCAACAGTGTCAGTCAGCTTTTTATAGCTATAATGGTGTCCTTGAGATTATCTGCTTATAAAGAGAAAATTTTTATCTCAATTTTGGTTTGGTTGGCTTTTGTCTGTTTTTGAGACAGGGTCTCACTGGCCTCAAATTCACTATGGAGCTGAAGGTTTTATTTTACCTCACAGTCTTGATGTGATGACGACAACCACACACCTCATGGCCAGGGAATAAAACAAGAGTGACCGGGCCGGGGTTCCATGGTGCCCTTTAAAGTCGCATCTGTCACGACGGAAAGATCACCCAGCAGGTTCTAGTGCTGCCCCCCCCCATTTATCCACACACTTACACTTGGGATGGGACCCAGGGCCTTGGCATGCTAGACAAACACTGCCACTGAGCTGTTCCCCCAGCCTACGCCGTCCTCAAAGAGTCTGTAGTGTCTCAACAGTGCCACTGTGAGCATGAAAGCATTTTTAAACACATGGACCACTGCATCAGGAGGCAAATGGTACAGCTGTGCTGACACCAAGGACTGAAGCCAGCTGCCCCTCAAACTGGCCAGGGAAAGGCAGTCTGAGTACGGCTCTCCCCCTTCTGGACAGGTTCCTCTGCCTGCCCTGACATCTCTACTGTAGCACTGACCACAGCACAGCTTTGCCTCCGGGTGGAATCCATCCTGGAGGCCTTTGCCTTCACTTCTGCCAGGGCCACTTCTTACCAGGATTCCATATTGCCCCGAGTAGTTAAAGGTCAGCACAGAGTCAGAATAGCCTTCAAAGCCCCTCTGCCTGGGCACCTGCAGTGGTCCTGCTCTGCTGAAATTCGGTGTTTAAAGGACACTGCCCGCCTGCTCTCTAGGAGTTGTCTCTCTGCCTGGATAGCTTAGTGTTCCATGACAGGTCACACTGGAGGGAAAGCCCCTTGAATCGTCATGGATCACTAGGCCTTCCCTTGGGTTTGGGGCATGGCAGGCTCCAACAAAGGCCTTCACAGCAGAACAGCTCTGTGTGCTAAGGGACCCCCCCCCCAGGCTCTCTGTGGCCACCTGCTGTATGTAGGCACATCCAGGCTCCTGACCTCCACCTCCTCCACACTGTGTTGTCCCCTCTCTGTCCTTCCAAAGCAGCCTCTCCCCTCCAAGCCCTGGCCCAACCCCTCCCTGTACCCGAACCCACTCTCTCTGGCTGTCCTCCACTTGTCCTCCCCATCCTTTAGGGTTGCTACTTCCTGGAGGCCTTTGGGATCCACCCCATTCTCCTTCAGGACTGCTTCTTCTTCCTTCAGTTGTCCCAGAATCCTTGGAAGTAGTGTATGTACACGCATGTACACATACATGAACACAGGTGCTTGGCCAGACTTGACTGGAAGATGAATAGTGGAACTGTCTGAGGTTGGTGTTAGAACACTCTGCCTGTGGTCACTGTTCTATCATCAACCTAGAAGGCCCTGGGAGCTGTGAGGAATAGCAAGTTCAGCTGGGATTCTGTGTTTTTGACAAGCACTCACACCTTGCCCAACATGAGTCTGTGGTGGTAGGCCCAGGGTCCACCTGGTGTTTGGACTGTCAGGATTTCCTGCGAAGGCCATGGTGGGGCTGCAGTACCCTGGTGTAACCAGAACCTGGGTACACAGGTCAGGTACAGGGAAGAGGGAAGATCCTACCCAGCCTTCCAGCTTTGCAGTCCCCTGACCTTGGGCCCTTAGCCTCTTGTGCTGGGAAGAGGGCTCCATGCCTAAGGCCATCATTCTTTTTGTCCTTTTTGCCAGTCCCAAAGATGCCTTCCGAGCAGTGAAGAAGCGAATCGTGGGGAATAAGAATTTCCATGAGGTCATGCTGGCCCTCACGGTGAGTCCGGACCATGGTCTGCTGAAAGCTGCTTCTCCTTAGTTAGATCCAGGGGGCTCCCATCTATGCTTGGGGTTCTCATCTGAGGATTAGGAAGAAAATCACCCTGGGGAAACAGTTGCCATCTGCACTGCTGGGAGCTGGAAAGGAGCCCCGAGCCTTAGCATCGGGAGTGGCACACTGGGGCCACACCCTCTAAGACTGCTCCCTGAAAAATGAACGTAAAGCAAATGCCAGTATCTAAGAACAACGCTGGCCACAGCCCTGAGCCAGGCCACATCCATCTTGTGGAGAGTGGGTAGGAGAACACTCTGTTCCAGCCTCAGCCATGGTGGTGCTTAGATCCCGTTAGTCCTGCCACCCTGCAGAGCATGGGCAGCTTCTGCTAGGTCACAGGGAGAGAAGGTCACAGGGCTTGGTCCTTGGGTCATGCGTTACCTACCAATAGGGGAAGCTGAAACTGTCTCCGATTCTTCCTGTAGGGCCTCTGAAACACTAGACCAGTGTTTCTCAAACTGTGGGTCACAACCCCTTGGGGGTCTAATGACTCTTTCATGGGAGTCGCATATCAGATATCCTGTGTATCAGATATTTACATTACAATTCATAAGACAGCAAAATTATACTTATGAAGTAGCATCAAAAAATAAGTTTATGGTTGGGGGGATCACCCCAATGTGAGGAGCTGTAGGCCAGGCGTTGGTGGCGCATGCCTTTAATCCCAGCACTTGGGAGGCAGAGGCAGGCTGATCTCTGTGAGTTCGAGGCCAGCCTGGTCTACAGAGAGAGTTCCAGGACAACCTCCAAAGCAATACAGAGAATCCCTGTCTCAAAAAACCAAAAAACAATAACAAAACAAAACAAACATGAGGAACTGTATTAAACGCTTATGGCATTAGGAAGTTGAGAACCACTACTCTAGATCATGTGAGCTAGTAAGTAGGGTTATGTTATAGCAAGCCCTAGTCTAGTAGGAAGGGAGTCCTGTCTGTCACATCATTCCGTATGTCCCAGTCCCCTAGGAGACAAGCCCCCCAAATCTAGCACTGCTCCCATCCCCATGTCCTAGGAGATCCCTTCTGGAAGCTTCCTCTCCTCTGCTCAGCTTCTCTCTGGGATAGAAGAGGGGCCTCACAGAGTGGCAGCCTGTCTCCCTCCTCTGATAGGGCACTCTCTTGGGCACCTTGACCTACAGGTCTTAGAAACGTGTGTTAAGAACTGTGGGCACCGCTTCCATGTCCTGGTGGCCAGCCAGGACTTCGTAGAGAGTGTGCTGGTAAGGACCATCCTGCCGAAGAATAATCCACCCACCATCGTGCATGACAAGGTGTTGAACCTCATCCAGGTGCGTTCTTTGACAGGGTGGGGTGGCTTAGTGGCCTCAGGGGTCGGGAAGTCCGGGGCTGTATCCTGTCTGTTAGTGGCCTGCTTATGTGTGCAACAGAACTTACCACAGCTCTAGAGGACTGGGCAGAAGGAAGAAGAGGGGAAGCACTTTGTCCTCTGTCTAGATGCCAGGGCAGGGCAGGCTCTTAGACAAGGAGGAGAGCAGTGGTTACCGGCCGTGTCCCCTTGTCCCCTCTCAGTCCTGGGCTGACGCGTTCCGCAGCTCGCCTGATTTGACAGGTGTCGTTGCTGTCTACGAGGACCTACGGAGGAAGGGCCTGGAGTTCCCCATGACTGACCTGGACATGCTGTCACCCATCCACACACCCCAGAGGGTGAGGAGAGCCTCGAGTGGAGCAGGAGTCATCCTGAGGGGCCTATGGGGCCTTAACAGAAGCCTCATTTACCTGTCTCTTGCCCCCTAGACTGTGTTCAGCTCAGAGACACCATCCGGACAGAACTCTGTGGGCTCTGACACCAGTCAGCGAGGAGACCTGAGCCAGCATGCCACCCCTCTGCCCACTCCCGCTGTCCTCCCTGGTGACTCTCCCATCACACCCACTCCTGAGCAGGTAACAGACGAGCCTGTGACAGAGCCAGGAAGGTGTCAGATATGCCCCTATCACTGGAAATTTCTTTGTCCTCCCAGCAGCCCACAGATGTATACTATTGTCCCTGTGTGCAGATAGGTTCAGATAGGAAAGCCATTCACTCAGAAGCCCACAGCTCATCAGAACCAGCTGGGATTCAGGCTCCAGTCTGTCTGACTCCTCGACTGCTGTCGTTTTCCAAGCTCTTCCTTCCATGGAGCCCTCTGCAGAACCAAGGAGAGGCAATGGCCAGCAGGCAGGCAGTCCCTTCCACATAGAACTCCACCTGAATTGAAATTCTAACAGAGGACAACCTTTAAGGATCTACGTGCTCGCTGGGGTTGGTGGCAAACCTTCAGTCCCAGCACTTCGGAGGTAGAGGTGTAGACAGACGGAGTTTTTCTTTTGTCCTGCTTGCCTGGTCCCAAATAGTCACATAGAAGATTAATAGTAATTACGAAATGCTTGACCGAATAACTCGGGCTTAGTACTAACTGGCTCTTGCATTTAAATTAGCCCATTTCTATCAATCTGTGTGTTGCTACTTGCCTCATGGCTTTAACATGGCTCTAGCACGCCTTGTTCATCCGGCAGCTGGCTCCCATCTCTCCAGACTCTGCCGCCCTTTCTTCCTGGGTCTCCATTTGGCTTTCCCGCCTAGCCGTATCCTGCCCATTCAGCTTTATTATTAACCAATTAGAGGGATCCATATTTACACAGTGCGCAGATGGATTGTCCCACAGCAGAGGTGGGTGGATCTGTGTCAGCTCAGGGCTTCATAGTAAACCCTGTCTCAAAAGAGGGTGGGAGAGAAAGAGTGAGAAAGAGAGAGAGACAGAGAGACAGGGACAGAGAGAGAGAGAAGCTTGGAGGCCTAGCATGAGATTCTGGGGAAGTGTCCCTAGCCTATGGCTAGCTCTAGAGAGTTACCTACCCCAGACCAGGTGGCTGTGATCTAGATCGTCGGTCACTTGAGATGTGGTACTAGGCTGGACCTTTAGACCATCATCAGTGAAGCACACGTCACTTAACTGCTAGTGTGCTGGAGGTAAAGATTCACAAACATTATGCAGATGACAGACGCTTCATTCCATAGAACTGCCCCCTGACCACCTGTGTGCAGGGCACAGTCTCAGCCCCACAAAGAGGAACTCCCATGCTATCTTGTAGCAAGCTTTGAACCCTTGCACCACAGCAAGCATGACGAGAGAAGGCTGGCAAGCTAGCCCAGTCATTAAAACCTACAAAACTAAAATTACCCTGGTATCCAAAGCATTATCCACCTTGCTTCTGGTTTTAACTAGTTTTCCTGGTGTCTGTGTATTAGGAATGATTGATTACTTAGGGCTAGGAGGTTCCTGATTAGCAAAACTGAGTATTTTTGTTTGAGTTCATAGCCCTCTTGGCCTCTTGGGGCACGTTAAGATGTTGCAGTGTGGTGATGTAACTCCTAGGCTCCTTTGTGGTCAGGTCCCTTTGGGTTTGGATGTGGCAAGTTGGGGATGAGCAGCTTGCTCACTCCCACCAAGAGAGCTATTAAATGAGTCATCCTGCCTGGCACTGGGTGTGCTGTTGGTCAGCTTCAGTGGACAGCTACTTGTCTCTGCATGCTTATTTCTTCATCCTCAAGATCCTGGAAGGTGGCTGCACCTACTTGTGATGATATTGTGTTGGCACTTATTAACTAGTCAGTAAATGGTATCTGCTGTCATAATCATGAAATTGCCACTACTCAGTCATACAATTTAGAATATGCTAGTATTTCCCAAAATGTAGTCTCCTAGCCACTCGACTGATGAGCCACCCCATTATAAGGGGCTTCTTGATCCAGATGCATTTGGGGGAGCCTTCAGATGATTCTCAGCATTCAAAGTGAACATTGTGTCCATGAGCCATCCCTTGGGGTTCACAGAAGACTGCACAATGAGCCTGACAGCCTAATCCATTGGAGGGCACTGACCATGTTCATCGTTATATATGTCCTCAGGCCTGGAACCTTGGTTCCCTTTGACCACTGGTATAGGTACTGGATCTGAGTTTCGCGCTCAAAGTAGGCCTGAAACTTATGTTTGGGTGAGCCTGGGCCCAATGGACCAGAGACAAGACAAAATCCCAGTTCTCTTAAGAGAGGGAAAGACTTAGACAGAACTCACTCTGTCCTCCCAGACATAAAGGGGCGTGCAGCCTTCCTGCTCCCTTGGGAGAACCACCATTCCCTAGGGCCTCATTAATTGCCATCTTGGCCCCAAAAGATGCCAGTGTTCTTCCAACCACATTCACTGGCTTATTTCCCTCCAACTGTCACACTCCCTTCGGCCTTCCCTGCGCCTGGCTCCTGGTTTGGCGATGGCAGCGGTTGGTAGCACCTCTGTGAGGGGCTGTGTGGTGGGAGCACAGACATCCCCAGCAGTCAGGAGAGAAGTCGTGCAGAGACAGTGCTGGTGGCGCGGTTCTTGGGCCATGCGTCTGTGGGAGCAGCATGGGCTCTAGATTCTGGCTTCTCTCCCCTTACTCTGTGCATTCAGATTGGGAAGCTGCGCAGTGAGCTGGAGATGGTGAGCGGCAATGTGCGAGTCATGTCGGAGATGCTGACAGAGCTGGTGCCCACCCAGATAGAGCCTGCGGACCTGGAGCTTCTACAGGTGAGCCAACGGCCTGCCCGCAGGCTCGGCCTCCACCCAGCTCACCCCGCGTGCACACCTGCTCTTCCCTGCCCACACTGCAGTCTTCTGGTTTGGCTGGGAGCGCTGAGGCAATAGAAAATTTTACAAAGAGGAACCTTGGATTTGCATCAGACAGGAAATCAGATCTTAATTCTTAATTCTGCTGCTTTCCAGCCTGAAGCAAATAGCCCTCATTTTCTGTGTCTATGTGGCTGCTTTGACACAGTGGGACATGAGCACTAAATGAGGGGACATGTGGAGCACCTAGTCCTACAGCATGACCAGCCCTGATCCTGTCCTCATATGGTGTGGGGTACTGGAGAGAAGGGGTCCAGGCAGCCTTCCCGTGGAGGGACATTCAAGGAGGCAATAAGAAAGTTAGGAACCACCAAAGCTGAAGAGTCTCCAGAATGCATGGAGGGACGGGATGTTCACGTGCAGAATGCTGGTGCGCTGTTCGGGCGTCACTCTCCCACCAGCCCTCAGAGAGTAGTTTAAGGCCAGGTCTTTATGCCCCTGTGACTGCTCAGAGGTCCGTGTGCTTCTGGGGGAGGGGCAGGCTGTGGTAGGAGTATCTTAGCTGAGTGGGCTCTTGAAGAAAGGGAGTCGACCAAGGGTTGTGAATAGTTTTATTTGTCCCACGTCAAGTCCATGCACATATGAGCGCTCTGGGTTACTCAGAAGGCTGGAGCCAGCTGGCAGGGCGATACAGACTCAGTGCCCAGTGCCCACATGATGTGCACTGTGAATGTGTCAAGCTCAATGTAGGTACTTGATATACATTCACTCAGCCCTGACCACACCCGTTTTCCAGATCAGGAAACTAAGGCAAACAGAGGTCATGTAACATGCCTAGGGTCGTGTGGCTGGTAGATAGCAAAGCTGAGGTCTGTGACTTGGAGCTTCATGTTCTGCTGTCCAGAGAGGCCCGTTAGGAAGCAGAACCTCGTCCTCAGGTGTGGGTCATCATGGGAGGAAGAGAAGGGGAGCCCAGGGATATTCAAAGTCACCCTGAGCAGATGAAGAAACCCTAGGAGGCCCGGCCTGGAGGGGGTGAGGAACAAGGTCCGCAGGAAACCAGAGACTGGTGCAGAGCCTCATCTCTGATCCCGCGAGAGGAAGTGTACGGCCATGTGGTGAGACAGGTAAGAAGTGAGCAGTCTTACCACTTGCCTGTAGACCAAAGGAGGTTTTCTTATTTTTGAGTCAAGGTCTCGCGCGGCCAAGTCTTGAGTGTTTTCCTCAGCCACTGGCTGCCAGGGCTACAGGCAGAGCACCACACCCAGCCTCTTAGTATCTTTCTTTTTCCAAAGCAAGCTTAACCATGATTAAAAGCCCATCAATAACATGATGGCTAAGTGCAGTGTAGGATCCAGAAACAGAAAGAAAGATATTAGCAGAAAGTGATAAAACATGAACACACAGTTTAGTTAATACCAGTGTTGATGTCTTAGTTTAGATAAACGTCAAACTGGGTGAAGGCTCATAGGAACTCTGCTATTATTGCAGCTCTTCAATAAATCTGAAAAATTATCCCAAAACAGGTTTATCCAAAGGAAAAAAAAGTCAATGAAAATAATGAGACGAAAACTCAAAATCAGGGTATGTGGGGGTAGCAGTCAGACAGGGTACAACTTGTTCACTCCCCAGCCCCCGTCCCCAGGCCCGTCCACAGCGTCATCCTCCTCTGTCTGTACGGTGTGAGAGTGAGGGCGTGTGACCATGCGTGCATGTAGGAGTCAGAGAACAGCTGTAAAGGGCTGGCCCTCTCCTTCCCGTCTGAGGCCGTCTCTTCTGGTTGTGCTGCTTCACCACACGGGCCGGATCACTAACATGGTGAGTTCCTGTGCTCTCCATGTTAGTGTGAGGCCGAGCAGTCCCGGCTGCTCCAGAAGCTGTGGATCATTTGAGGTCAGGAGCTCCCGACCAGCAGCCTAGGCAGCATAGTAAGACCCCATCTCACAATTAAGACCCCAAAGCTGTTCTTTGGTGCCTTGAAGACCCTTCCTCCAGAACAGGCCCACCCTGATGTACCATCCGTGAGGGACAGCCTTGCCCTGCTGTGTGACCTGAATGTCCCACTTCTCCTGGCAGGAACTCAACCGCACCTGCCGCACCATGCAGCAGAGGGTCCTGGAGCTCATCCCACGCATCTCCAATGAGCAGCTGACCGAGGAACTGCTCATGGTCAATGACAACCTCAACAACGTGTTTCTGCGACATGAACGGTAGTCCCACCCCTTCCTGGGCCCCGGCCTTGGCTTCTTCTCAGACGTTTTCCCTGTGCCTTCAGCAGGCTACCAGGGCCATGTGCCTCCAACACCCTGCCCATCCCTAAGATGCTTGGCTAGTAAGGAGTGATGGAGGCAGGCAGCAACGCTCTCTGCGTGCCTGGAAACAGGGTTTATTGTCTATCCACCTCCGATTCAGGTGGGCCTCTTTTCTGTCTTTCTTCACTTGCTGTGTGGTTTGCAGTCAGTTGAGAGGGGCTGGGCCCGAGGGCAACAACTGGCCAGCTTTCTCCTGTTCGTTAGCCCAGTAGAATGCAGGACCTCCTCCTTGCCGTTGAGGTACATTGTGTGGTAGACCCCTGCAATACCCTAGCATCAGGCCCCTAATTCGCCAGTTTGTTCCAGTGCCAGCAACTGCTACTCAGTTCCTCAGCTAAGTCATCACCTCAGTTTGCAGACAGGTGTCGAGAGACGGTAGAGCGGAAGGTGAGTTAGGAAGACAGGTGTCCAGAGACGGTAGAGCAGAAGGTGAGCTCAGAAGACAGGTGTCCAGAGACGGTAGAGCGGAAGGTGAGTTAGGAAGACAGGTGTCCAGAGACGGTAGAGCGGAAGGTGAGTTAGGAAGACAGGTGTCCAGAGACGGTAGAGGGGAAGGTGAGTGCACAGGCCACAGCCCCAACAGGGTGCACACTAAAGTCTTCTCCACACATTCCCTAAGTGTAGAGCAGGCTGACACAGTTGGGCAAAGCAGCACTCACCTCTGCTTGCTGAGTGTCCCCTTCTTTTCTCTGTGTTCCTGTCACTTGTTTCTTGCTGACAATTACAGGGTGGCCCTGTAACTGATCGTATAACTTCCAACCCTTGTGCAAGTGAGAGAGGGCTCTACTGGTGGTGATGTAGGGACAGCAAGTACACACTGGATCTGTTACGAGGACCTGTGATTTCCAAAGCCGGTGGGGTCTTCTGGGGACTGTGTCCATGTGACCTTTTGACTAAGGTCTTTTCTGTCTGTAGGTTTGAACGGTTCCGAACAGGCCAGACTGGCAAGGTAAGAGGCATCTCTTTCAGGACTAGATTGTGCTGTGTTGATAGGAAATAGGAGGGAACTTCTCACCGTCTCCCTGAAGCCCTGCAACAGGGTACTGGTGCTTTTTAGGCTCATCGGGAGTTTTCTTCTGACTTCTTATACCACTGCCCCTTTAAGGGAAATGAGGCTTTGCCACCACCTGCTGTTACCTTGGGGCCTTCCCAGCCTCCCAGGGTACAGCTGAGTTGGAGCCCAAGTGGAGTGGAAACGCTCCCCAGCTCCCATTCAGAGATGTCCGGGCCTGGAGGCAGATCACTGCATCCAGAAAGGATCGTCCAGGCATTTCCCTTCATCTCAGGCCTCCAGTGAAGCTGAGCCAGCTGTTGACTTGATTGACATGGGTCCTGACCCGGCAGCCACCAGAAACCTCTCATCCCAACTGGCAGGAATGAGTAAGTATACTGTGGGGGTGGGGGGCTCCAGCCAAGAGGATGTCACAATCTATACACAATCTATACGTACCCTCATAGTTCTGGGGGTGTCTTCCTGTATTCCCCAACAGCAGTACATTAGTCGAGGTCTCACTTTGCTGGGATCCCAAGCCAAATCTTGCTGCAGGGTTGGGCACTTGAGTCAAAACTTGTGAGAATGCCTTGGGAGCAGTCCCCTTGGATCTAATAAATCCCTCTGTGCTCTGACCATCCCTCTGCGCTGATATCCTCCCCAAACCCCTGCCTGAACAACCTGAGGGTGTTCAGTCTGCTGCTCGGCCTCAGTAGGCCCTTCTTCAAGGCTGGTAGAGTAGAACCAGAAACTTTTAGAAACAAGCTCCCGCCAGGGCTGAGCCAGAGGCACTCTGTGTTTTGGTGGCACTTGGGGTAGAACCCAGGACCTTGCACATGCTAGACAAGTGTTCTGCCTCTGAGCTATGCTCCCAGCTCATTGATTGATTTCTTTTGTTGTGTTTTGAGAAGAGTGACTAGTTTAGGTTTTATTTGATTTTAGTGACTTTTCATCTGCTTGTTTGTCTTTTAAGACAGGGTTTCTCTGTGTATCTTTGCCTGTCCTGGAACTCTCTCTGTAGACCATGCTGGCCTTGAACTCATGAGGTCTGTCTGCCCACCTCTGCCTCCCAAGTGCTGGGACTAAAGATGTGAGCCACCACACCTGGCTTGACCCAAGTTGTGGCTAAATGCTTAGGTTTGCCTTGAACTTTCTCCATCCCCCTGCCTCAGTTCTCTGAATGCTAAGATTACAGGTGAGTGAACCTGGCTATACTCTTGATAAACGTGAGCAGTTATCACCCTGATCTTTTTTTCCTTTTCCATTGGTGTTTTGTTTTGTGCAGTGCTTGGGATTGAGCTAAGGCCTCAAGTATGCTAAGCAAGCTCTCTACCATGGAACTGTATCCCAATTCTTTAATTTTGAGACAAGGCCTCACAAAGTTCCCCAAACCGTCCTTGACCATGCTTCGTAACCCAAAGCTAACCTCGGTCTCCCCTAGGGCTGGGATCACAACCACTAGGCCTGCTTGGGATTGGGTGTAATGTTATTGACTGCCTGCTCCATGCCAAGCCCCAGGAATCCATTCAGCTCCCACTTTGAATAACTGACACTACACTTGTGAAAAGTCTGATGTCACCACTGTCCTGCTGGCAAGCCTCTTCTGCTAGGTCAAACTCCAACCATACAGTTATTTCATTGCTACTTTATAACTGTAATTTTGCTACTGTTATGAATCATAATATAAATATCTGATATGCGACCCCTGTGAAAGTGTCCTTCAACCCCCAAAGGGGTTGCAGCCCACAGATTGAGAAGTGCTGCTGTAGCAGATGTCCCAGGCTGTGATGTTCCTGTTCTCTGACCCTCGGCACAGCCAGGAGAAAGTGATTGTGTGGCCACCTTAGAGATGAGTACACTCAGCTCCTACCACCTAACCCCATGCTCTCCCAGCAGACAGCCCTAGACCCGAGCAGAACACGGACGAGCAGGGGGATATGTCACCTGGCCTTTGTGTCTCTGCAGACCCTGGCTCCAGCAGTGTGAGGGCTGGCCTGCAGTCTCTGGAGACCTCGGGTCACCTGGAAGATGACTTTGACATGTTTGCGCTGACTCGGGGCAGCTCACTGGCTGACCAACGGAAAGGGTAAGTTTCCTGTTCCATCCTGCTCTCTTTTGTTGGTGAGAGGATCCCTGAATCTATATTGGAAGTGGTCAGGCAGGAAAAAAGACGCACAGTCCCTAAGTTCAGTCCAGCATGGCCTGGAGAGCACCATGGTCTATAGACTGGAAGGAATGAGTAGGGAAGGGATGTCACCATCTGACCAGAACCAGAACCAAGGCTAGCCATAAACCACAGGACAAGTGGCTAGCATTGGCAGCAGGAGGTTCGGAGTCTTCTGCCTCTTGTCCAAACAAAATATTGTGTCTGACTAGCCCACTGTCTTATGTAATGTGCAGCCAGTCCCAAAACCCCTAGGGGCAAGGCAGCCCCCTAATGAAACCTTAGGGACTTGCAAATCTTGACTGTTGTCCCAGAGCCAGAGGATGCTCTGGCTCCATTAGGGTATGTTATCCATTTGCTTATGACCCCCTTAGCTGAGCTGTGGGCAGCTATGGTTTACAACCAAGAAAAGTTCTAGATTAAAGAAGCCTCCTAACTGTTCCCACATGACTCCTTAGTGACTATTCTGTCTTTGGGAACTTTGTCATTGAACGGCAGACACTGGCCAGAGAGATTCCCTGTGCTCACTGCCGGTCCAGGTACAATCTGACAGTCTGCAGGCAGCGGGTCCTCACTGAGCTGTGAGCTAAGTTTGCCTTTACTCTGAGCAGTCTGTACTCCCAAGCCCAGAGGATCTGGAACTAGCAGCTTGCAATTACCATGGTGCTGCTGAGGCCGCTGCGCGGATGAAAGCTAACGAGTCTGGTGGGGCCTGCACTCAGGGGTGTAGCTGTCCTCATGGGCCCCAGTGCACGAAACAGTTGGGACACTGGAGAGCGCCTGGTGTTGAACTGGTGTGCCAGCGTGACCATCATCCCTCCACAGGGAAGGCATGCATGCAGCCTGCCTTCAGGACAGCCGTCTTCATGTAGTGGTGTGCGTGGCCATTGTGTGGTAACCGTGCTTGGCTGGCAGGGCAGGGAGCTCCTCAGACGGCTCAAGCCAGACGGGTTTAGGGAGCATCTCAGGTCCTAGGAACAGCGTGTGCAAGGCTTGGAGCCGCTGACAGAGCGAGCTCTGGCCCTCACTCGGCACACGTGAGAAAGGGAGCAGCCCCTGATACACTGACGCCCTTCTCGTGTTGGCAGTAGGGGACAATTCCTAGCACATTCAATCTTGGACACTCCCTTCGGCTGGCACAGCCGCCCTGTACCCTTCTTAGACCTGTTTTCCCTGCACCCTCACTATGCTTGGTCCTCACCCTACGGAGACAGGACTGGACCCACCTGTGAGGTCTGTGTGCCTTTGCTCTCTTGCCTGCTCGCTCACCCTGCTGCTGTGGGAGATCCTCCTGTCTGGTCACTTGGATGACTGCATCTGCAGTTTCCTTGCCTCCCAGCCTTCTCCCTCTCCAAGGTGACCTTTACTCCCCTGGGGCCACACTTCAGTCATACCACACACTCCTTCCAGCTGCCAGGTGCCAGCCCCACCCCGCCCAGTCCTAGCCTTCTACCTGCCGTGGTGGCTGGCCTTTCTGATGGCAAACCAATGCCAGATGTGCCCTCAGCAGCATGTATTCTCCTTTTGACAGTAGAAGGGATGCCTCCGTTCAAATGCAGAGCCACAATTGATGAAATTCAGCTGGGAACTGAACCCCATGGGCATGGGTCACAGTCCCTCAACTTGAGCCGGTAGGGTCACAGCCACATGAGATCTTGTCCTCCCAATCCTCACATTGTCTGTGAGGCCTGGGCCGCATCTGGTGCCATGCTCCTCTGTATTTCAGGGTCAAATATGAAGCCCCCCAAACCACAGATGGCCTGGCTGGAGCCCTGGATGCCCGGCAGCAGAACACCAGAGGGGTAAGCATAGAGGTCCCGTTCTATCAGAGCCTCCCAAAAAAGCAGGGCCTGTAGGCCACTATGAGCTCAGAATGGGCTTGGCACAGCCCTTTCCAGTTTGGCTCTCAGTTGGTTGTTTGTGGCTGATGTAATTATCCCCAGTTGAGAGCCAAGGAAGCACTCACTCAGCAGGGATTCCGACCCAATCCTGCCTCAGGAACTGGTGTCCAGTGTGGTCCTGCGTGCACATCCTACTTCACCTGCCAGCCCTGGAACTCTTTCCCTGAACTTTTAACAGCAGTACTAGCTCAGAGTAGCCTGTGAGAGAGCAGCACTCTCTCACTAACAGGAATGTGAGCAGAGGGGAATAAAATAGAGACCCTGGAGCAATAGTCAGAGTTCCCGGGCACTCATTTTTGATTTGTCTTCTGAGACAGGGTTTCTCTGTAGCCGTGGCTATCCTGGAACTCACTCTGTAGACCAGGCTGGCCTCAAACTCACAGAGATCCGCCTGCCTCCTGCGTACTGGGATTAAAGGCGTGCACCACCAACGCCCGGCTTCCTAGGCACTCTTTTTTTTTTTTTTTTTTTTTTTTTTTTTTGTTTGTTTTTCGAGACAGGGTTTCTCTGTGGCTTTGGAGGCTGTCCTGGAACTAGCTCTTGTAGACCAGTCTGGCCTCGAACTCACAGAGATCCGCCTGCCTCTGCCTCCCAAGTGCTGGGATGAAAGGCGTGCGCCACCAACGCCCGGCCCTAGGCACTCTTTTAAGTCCAGTTAATCTCTTGCCCACTTGAGCATTCTGTGGTCATCCTCCCCAGTGGCAAGATCTCTTGAGTGGCTAGGACAATGAACATTGTCTTCAGTGAGGTGAAAGCCTTGGGCACAGGAGGGACCTCACTCAACTTCCAGAAGGAAGCCAGAGCCTCATTAGGAGGTCCAGCTCAGATAGAGCAGGATCTGGTGATTCCGTCTGCACTCCCATGCCTCCCAGCTCTTTGCTTGGGGTCCATTTCAAGACAGAGCAGAACAGGCACAAAACACTGGGGCGGACAGGCTTCATGGAGTCCAAGGCTGCACCGGGCACGGCGGGCCACACCTGCCCCGGGCCTCCGCACCCGCGCATGCTTCTGAGCCATCACTTCTTGAGTGTATGCTAAGCCCTCGTGCTTCCCTCGTGGGAGTCACCACACAGTCCATGCTTGCTGCGTCCCAAAGATGGGGGCATCTTCCCAGAACAAACAGAAACAGCCACCAAAAGCATGGTCAGTGTTGTGTTTCCAGGCTCCCGCAGCACCTTGCTGTAGCCCATGCACAGCTCCTCTCGCTGACCACGTGACCACGCATTCACTCCCTTTCCCCTTCGATTGGGCAGCCATCTATTGAAGACAATTTTCAAAGAGCAAGCCAGCACCCACTCCAAGGGCTTAAGTCTGACTAGAGGCAAGGCCACATAACTCACTGACTACCTGCATGAGACAGCAAGATCAAAGTCCAAAATGGAGCTGGTGGGCAGCGCCTTTGTCCAAGACTCAGCAGAACTCACAACTTGTGTGTCCGTTGTTGCACCGAGGGCAGATTATCTTCCTTCACTCCCTCGGGTGCAGCAGTGGGCTTTGACCTACACTGGTCTGTGTACAGTGTACAGGGAGGTCAGTACGTAATGGGCTGGAGCCCCTGCACCACCCACCTGCTCTGGAGCCTAGAAAGTTCTTCTTTGCTGTTGGTAACTATGAAGCCAGTGGACAAAGTAGTCTTTCTAAAACTTGGGTGCCCTTCAGAAGCCTTTGGTAGTCACCAGTCTGGCTGACAGATGCTGTTGTTAGCTTAAAGTGTGCAGGCCACCCTTTAGGGTTCCGTGGGAATGATGAGGACTTTCTTGGTTTTTTATTTGCTCTTCACATTACCCCAGCCCGGAAGCTCTGGGCTCCTCCCCTCATGGTTACCCTGTAGTGAGGTACCCTGGGTAACTTACTTCATCCCCTTGGCTCTGCTGCCATACCTGTGTGTAGACACACTTACACACACAGTCACATCTGTGCACATGAGCATCTAGATGGAAGGGCTACCATCCCCCACTGGCCCTGAACTCAGCCCTCCTGCCTATCACCTGGTGAGGCTCTTTACCCGAGATGAGGGGCGCTAGTGTAAAGAACCTAATGATCAGTGGTCAGGCATGCCATGAGCAGGGACCAGGCCACAGAGTTGGTACTGGGGAACATGACCCAAGGCAGCCTCAAGAGAGGAGGCCCAGATCCAACCCCTGCTTCCTCCAGCAGTCAGTGGGCATCAGTTGGCTGGTCAGACCTGGCCTGCCAGAGGACCTGCCCCTGGAAGGCTGCCTCTGCCTCTTCTCCACAATGGGTAATAAGCTGGGGCCCTAAACTGGTTTGGTCAGAAACTCTAGCTCTCCTTTGTCCAAAAACTGCCAAACGGAAACTCCGAGTTCCCAGGCCTCCTTCCTCTGCAGACTCTCTGCCGGTCCTGCCTCCTACTGACAACACCCTGGATGGTGGTCAAGGTGTCAGGTGAAGAAGACAAGGACAAAGACATTTTGAAAGAGGCCAGGAGTCACTCCAAGGGTCTGTGCTCATGACCTCCAAACCAGATTGACACTGCGGAAACTGTTAAGAGGAAGACCCCAGCCCCGGGCCTTTAGGAGCCGTCATGTGACAGCCCATGTGCTTGAAACTGCCCAGCCTGGGCTTTCTTGAACACCTCCTTCCTCTCGAAGCCTACTGTTTGTGCTTTGCCGTTAACGGAAACTCCTGGCATTATTCTGAGCACATGTGACCAGGGCTGTCCTTGTCCAGACGTGCATTCTCCCCATGTGGGGAGTAGCTCCTGTTTGCCCCTGTGCTGTTGGGAGCACAGTCCCTGCATTCTTCTGGGCCTGTGTCCCTTCGCCCACAGCCTGGCTCACCCACAGCCTGGCACCACTGCACAGTGGTCCTAGGCAGCTAGGCCAGGTAATCCAGGATGTGTACCCCAGCAGGAGGCAGAGGAAACTCACGTCAGGGTGGGTGAGTGAATTTCAAGGACCTCTCGGCTTCCTTCTTGGCACCCAGACCTCTGCCCCTACCTACCTCCCTGCTTCCTTCCTTCCAGATCCCCGCCACCCAGGCCCGCATCATGGAGGACATTGAGCAGTGGCTGTCCACAGATGTGGTAAGTTGGGGCTCACTCCTTGCCTACCTAGCAGGGATCCATATGTCTTGTAGGGGGGCCTGGTGAATGACTAATGAAGAGAGGTAAATACAAATGCCTTCATCTGGTCACCCACCGTCCTCTCCCAGGCAACAGCCTCCCTGTCCCAGATCACACACCTAGTGTCGGGTCCCTGTACGTGTCAGCTATCATTCGGGAGATGGCGTTGGTTATAAACCAAGAGGGTCTATAAACTGTGTCCCCACAATAGCCCCTGGAGACCTGAAGCCTCTCAGAGGGAGGCATCAATCATCACCCCATTTCCTATTAGAAGACTGTTAACTGCAAGAGACCCAGGTCCTGGCCCGCACTTTCTAAAGGGGCATGAAGTCCTGAGCCTGGCATCAGGGCCTCTCCCCCCACCTTCTGCCACCACTGTGTGGGCACTAAAGACCAGAGAAAGCTTGGGCACTTCCAAACGCCGCTGTCCATCAACAGCAAGGCTTGGGTTCTACCCAAATCAGGCCAAGGACTAGGCGGGACTCAGGCTTACTAACTGAGGCAGAGGCCTCATTCCACCCGCAAGCCCCACGTGTCCGGGTGGTTAATGGGACACAGCTTACCTCCAGCCGGACTCGAGCCTTCCATCCATGGAGCTAGGCAGTCGTCTCTGACCCTGGAGGAAAGAAATGCGCTGCTGGGCACATCTGAGCTTGATGTCCTTAGCTGCCAACACCCACCAGCTGAGCCTCGGCTACAGTTTCTTCCTTCCTTCCTTCCTTCCTTCCTTCCTTCCTTCCTTCCTTCCTTCCTTGTGTGTGTGTGTTTATTTGTTTGTTTGTTTGTTTTGAGACTGGGTCTCTCTATGTTTCTATGTAGTACTGTCTGTCCTGGAACTCGAGCTATAGACCAGGCTGCACTTGGACTCACAGAGATCCGCCTTCCTCTGCCTCCCAAGTTCTGGGATTAAAGACACATCCCACCACACCCAGCCCCATCTTCCCTAACTCTTGACATAAAAAGATTTAATTTTTTAAGATTACTTTTATGTGTATGAATGTTTTACCGGCATGTATATGTGTGCATCACATGTGTACCTGGTACCTGAACAGCTCAAAAGAGGGCATCAGATTCCTTGGAACTAGAGTTAAAATTGGTTGTGAACAGTCATGAGTTCTAGGACAAAACCCAGGTCCTCTACAATAGCAAAAAGTGCTCCTAGTCACTGTGCAATCTTGCCAGCCCTAATTTTGTGTTTTAATTGTGTGTGTGTGTGTGTGTGTGTGTGTGTGTGTGTGTGTGTGTGTGTGTGTGTATTCATGTGAGTACAGTGCCAGAAGAGGGCATTGGTTCCCCTGAACTGGTGTTATAGGCTGTTATGAGTTGCCTGATATCTGTGCTAGGAACTGAATTCTAGTCCTGTGGGAACAGTGTGAGCTCTTAACCGCTAAGCCATCTCTCCAGCACAGCCTCCCTGTTTCAGAGGAGAAGCAAGTCATGGCTCAGAGAAATTCTAACAACCTGGAGCCCTGCAGCTCAGGAAGGAGTGAACCAAGGCCTGTGTCCTAACCCAGGGTCAACTTAAGCACAGCATCAGTGCTGGTCCTGGTCCCAAAGGCCCACCCTTGCCCCCTGTGTGGCCGGCTGTATGTACTCCGAGCAGCACTAACCTCTGTCTTGTCCTCTGCATTCTCAGGGGAGCGGTGCTGAGGAGCCCTCTGGTGTCACCAGTGAAGGTAACAGATTCCCCATCCACCTACCCTCCCCTGAAAGTAATAGTCCTGTCCCTGTCCCCAACCCAACCCCCCAGCTCTAGCCTACAAGCCTACTCTTTCCTACTAGAATTTGACAAATTCCTGGAAGAACGGGCCAAAGCTGCCGATCGACTGCCCAACCTGGCCAGCCCTTCAGCCGAGGGACCCCCGGGACCTTCTCCTGGCACAGCTCCTCGGAGGAAGACCCAGGAGAAGGATGATGACGCACTGTTCGCCTTATGAATGCAGGGCCTGGCACCCTGCAGCCCAGAGCCTGGCGCTCATACCCACTGGGATCCCGCCCTCCCTTGGTGTTAAGGCTGCTTGGGGGTGTCTTGTTACCCCCTTCTCTCCTCCTGGAGCCTGGGCAGCAGCGGGATGAACTGGGGGAATGGGTCAGCCCTCTGCTGGAACCCTGACTGGTCCTGCCTCCTTCTCCATCCTGCTACCCACTACGACTTTGCTGAGACCTTAGGCCCCAGACAAGCTGACCTGATGTGACCTGATTGATCTGGTGTGAGACTGCTTCCATGAAACTCCCCCGGCTCCTTCCCTGGGGAGCCCACAGGAGCCCTCCACAATCCACACTTCCAGTCTAGGTGATGTGTCTAACAGACATTACCACAGCCCCGCCCATCCCTGCCCAGGCTTTGGCTGGCTGTTGGGGTGGGCTGTGGTGGCCCCTGCTGAGCCGCCCACTGTCCAGGTACGAAGTTGCACCTAGTGAGGCAAGACCTCACCAATCAGGTGTCAAGACGAGACACGGGGTTCTGCGCACCCAGAGCCCCCGTTCCTCCACTGCCTCCCATCCTTGCTCTGTTCCTCCGGAAGGCCCCGCCCACCTGAGGCTCACCTGTTGGTCGGTCCTCGGGTACAGGGAGAGGTGCCTTCTGTGTCCCCAAATAAAAGTAGGAAGCCGCCTGCCAGTGTGATATGCTTCTGCCAGGAAGCAGTTTGACCTCTGGGGGGCAGGGCCTACCTTGAGCTAGAAGCTGACTGAGAGATAGATGTCTGTAGATGTAGCCTGGTCTGTAGACCACTCAGCCCAGCAGGGTGGGGCACACAGCCGTACTCACACCACACAAATCCAGCTCCATCTGCTCTGCACAGGACAGCGTCAGCCTCCTCAGGTTTCTTCACACCCTCCCCATGCTTCTGCCCATCCTACAACAGCAGCTCATTGGTCAAGAAAGGGAGCCTACTACTGAAGGACAGCGTTGGCATGTTGGGACAGCAGCAGGTCACAGGGAGGATGCTGGTGCCAGCCACGGTCCAGGTACTCTGCACTGTCTGCACTGGACCATGCACAGCACGTGTAGGCATCCAGGCCTTCCCTGGTTCTCGTCAGGCCTTGTAGAAGGGGAGGGACAATAAAGATTAGATCTGAGATAATGGGGCCTCGGCAGTAACTGGGAATTCAATCAATAAATCAATCCCCAGATTTCCACCAAGACAGAGCAAGACTACAGGGTTCTGTGTCTGGAGACCACAGACAGCATTGGAGAGGGAATGCTGGCAGGAAACCAGGCACTGCCTACAGACCTCGGGTGGTCAACTGGCAGCAACATGGCTTGGAGCACCCTTGTTCTGGTTCCTTAGCACAGCCTGTGGCGTTGCCTCCCGTCTCCCGGTGTGTCCATTCAGGACAGCTGCTGGAGACCTAGAAGGCAGACCAGTCTCTTCTTCCCGCCTTGGATGCCCCTTGAAAAGATGGCTACAACTGACTTGATCCCAGCAACAGGAGCGAAGCACGGCCTAGGTCTACCTCTGCTGCCAGGCCAGCATTTCACAAAGTCCCTGCCGCCCTCCGTGATAGCTGGAAGGCTGTCCTGCTCCGACTTGAGTGGCCTGGCTCCAGTAGCAGTGTCCTGTTGTGACCACAAGATGGCAGCGGTGCTGCATGCATAGGAGCTCTCCTTCCTTGTTTCCCTGATTGAACCCCCACATGCATGCATGCACATGTGTACATGTACACACACATGCCTTCCCAACCCCTACCCTCACTTCTCTGACTGGCGAAATGGAGCTAGAGTCTAAAGGATCTGAAGTCCCTCCCTCAAAACACACCTAAGAACTTGGTTCCTGGAAGTTTCAACGGACACTAGCTAACTGTCAGGCTGTAGGGAAGACTCACCAGAGCCAGCAGCAGGCTGAGGCTGTGGCTGGGTAGAGCCTGGCTCCCACTGCTCCTGGTAGAGCCTGGTGTACAGACCAGTGGTTACCCTTGATGCACAGCTGCAGCTGCTTCTACCTGCAGGAAGCCAGGAGGGCACCAGGAGTCTGGGCACACACCGTCCTCAGAGCCCAGCCGCTTCTCCAGTCGTGAGAAGCAGTCCCACGGCGTGGTTTAGCTTTCAGTTTTTTGGTTGGCTGGTTGAGTTTTGTTTGTTTTTTGTCTGTTTTTGTTTTGGTTTGGTGTTTCAAGGTGGGGTTTCTCTGTGTAGCCATGGCTGTCCTGGAACTCTCTCTGTAGACAAGGCTGGCCTCAACCTCAGAGATCCACCTGTGCCTGCCTCCTGAGGCATGCATCACCACTGCCTGCTTATTCTTTTTTTTTTTTTTTTTTTTTTTTGCAAGCAAGCTTCCTAACCCTCCTCAGATCCGAATGCCCCGTCACCGCCAATCCGTGGCTGTCCCTATCTGATGTTCTCCAGGTCAGCCTCCTCTGGACCCCATGGCGCTGTCCAAACACCACTCCCCCTCAACTCAAGCTGCTGAACCCTGGGCTCCTGCAGTCCCTCGCTCTCAGTGCAATCCCGCTCCTCCTCCACAGCTCTGGGACAGGAGGGGAAGAAGAGGGTGAAAGGGTGGACGTCTCTATGGGCAGATAATGGAGTGACACCTACAACCTGCTGTCTGGGCAAACTCCACATCTGGGCAGCTCTGGGACGTGTCCCCTGAGGAGGCCTCCTCACCTCCAGTATCAGAGAGGTCCATGCAGTTCCCTTCTGGGGTTCCCCAGCAAAGGGTCACAGCTGAACGACAGACATTTGTTCTGCAAGTTGAAGATCCAGATGTGGAAGAGATGTTCTCCTTGGTTTGAAGGTAGCCATCTTCACCCCGATTTCCTCCTCTTATAAAGACATACTGGATTATCCCTCCCGGTCTAATGACCACATTGAACCTTAGTCACCTCTTTAGAGATGCCATCTCCGAATACAGTCACACCTGAGGACTCCTGCATATGCATCTGGAAGGATATATCCTGCCCACAGCCATCCCACAAATTCTTTCCACTGTCTAGAGCGGTGGCATGTAACACCTGCCTCCATCCCTGCCCTCATGGAGATTTGCAACCACTGACAGGTCATATTTGGCCCAGCTCCAGAGCCATGGGAACCTACTAAGAACCAGCCACGAGGCCAAAGCAGAGCCAGAAAAGGCTTCTACCTGCTCCCTAGGATACCCACCTGCTCCCTAGGATACCCACCTGCTCCCTAGGATACCCACCTGCTCCCTAGGATACCCACCTGCTCCCTAGGATACCCACCTGCTCCCTAGGATACCCACCTGCTCCCTAGGATATCCACCTGCTCCCTAGGATACCCACCTGTTCCCTAGGATACCCACCTGCTCCCTAGGATACCCACCTGCTCCCTAGGATACCCACCTGCTCCCTAGGATACCCACCTGCTCCCTAGGATATCCACCTGCTCCCTAGGATACCCATCCACCCAAAGGCAGCACCTGCCTGTCAGCAAGCGTCTCTGCCACCCGTCTGGATCCCCATCCTCTGCCTCCCTGGCTTAGCCTGTCTGCACTCTGCCCCTGCCAGAGGCCACCCTGCATTCCAGTCCTCACAGCTGCGAGCTGCAAAGGACGGGTTCAGTTCTCAGCACCCACATGGTAGGTAGCACGTAGCTGTCTCCAGCTCCAATTCCAGAGAATCTGGAGCTTTCTTTGGATCTCTGGGGTACCAGATGTACATGGTAGATAAACATATATGCAAGCCGTATCACTCAGACACACAAAAATAAACCCTGTTCTAAAAAAGATTAACATACCAGAAAAAAAGCCAGGTGACAAAGACCGGAAACACTTCCCCACCCAGCATCACACAATGAGTGGGGCATGCTCAGGCCAGTTTGCCAAGGACACTTGACGTCTTTTCGGATCATATACTTTTCCTTGCTCACGAGGCCTGCTGTCCTGGAACTCCTCGCTCTGTAGACCAGGCTGGCCTCAAACTCCAAAATCCACCTGCCTCTGCCTGCGGAGTGTGTACCATGCCCAGCTGTTAGTCCTTTCTTAATAAATGGTCCCTAGTGTTATTTCTAACTATGTGTCCCTGGTGCAGTCTTTAGTCGCCAGTGAGGAGCACAATAATCAGGAGTCAGGCAACCTCTGAACTCAAACCTCTACCTATAACGCTGTCTCGGCCTGGCTTAGGGAAAAGACAGCTCCCACCCAGACTGAGTACCAAGTAGGCAGTACAGGGTCAAAGCATAGGGACCCCCAGCCCCACCTTTTCCAAGCAAGTTGCTTTGTGGCTGGAGTCCTCCTGGGAGTCAACAAGCAGGCCCAGTTTCTGCCTCACACATCCGTGTACAACACTGTTTGATTTGAGGCAAACCCTTTCTCTGGACTTCAGCTTCCCCATCAGTTAACCCATAGAAGTGTCACCCCGCTCTGCCCTCAGACCTCACTGCCCCCTGCAGGAGAGAACGAAACAAGTGGAAGGTCACACCTGTAATCTCCAAGTTCAGAAGGATAAGGTAAGATGGTTGTCGTGAGTTCAAGGCCAGCCTGGGTTACATTAGTTCAGGCTAGCCTGCGCTACATAAGGATACCTGTCTCAAAACGGGAAGAAGGCTGGAGAGAACACAAGGCAAGCATGCCAAGTCATTTGTAGAGACGGGAAATCAAGGTTAGGTAATGCTGCCCTCAGACCAGCAAGAGAGGAAGGCGTCTGTCAGCAGGCTGCGCAGACAGGCCGAGGGAAAGAGCCAGCAGGTGGAGGCGCACGCCTTTAATCCCAGCACTCAGGAGGCAGGGGCAGGAGGAGCTGAGTCTGAGCTTAGCCTGATCTACAGAGCAAGTTCCAGGACAGCCAGGGCTACACAGAGAAACCTCGCCCCAAAAGAAAAAAGGGGGAAGTGAAATTCAGGCTAGGGTACATTCTTGTACCCTGGTCCCACCCCTAGCAAGGGGAAGTAAAATGGACTACGGAGGGGGTTATGGGTAGCTGTCTCCTATTGGATGCAGCCCTTACCAGACCCCTGGGAAATTGCTTTTAAAGGTCAGTGAGACCAGCTAGGTCAAGGTCCAATTTTTGCCACACTTCAAGAAGGGACCCTGGGAGCTGGAGAGATGGGTTAGTGGTTAAGAGCACCGGCTGCAGAGGCAGGTGGATCTCTGTGAGTTCCAGGACAGTCTGGTCTACTGAGTGAGATCCAGGACAGTCTCCAAAGCTACACAGAGAAAAACAAAAACAACAATTAAAAAAAAAAAGAGTACTGGCTGCTCTTCCAGATGAAGATCAGAAAAGCAAAGCAGCCAAGCCACAAGAGTTCTCACCTCTACCAAGGCTGAGACCAAAGAGGGGTGATCCTGTCAGGGTGACTGCAGACTGCACCGCTCTCCACCAAGCCTCAGACTACCCTGAGACTGCACTGAGCTCCTTCCTGCCATATATTCCTCTCTAGTGCTGGGATCAAAGGCATGAGCTGCTTCTCTTTTAGACTGATTCACTCTCATGCAGCCCAGGGTGGCCTTGAACTCACAGAGATCCATCTGCCTCTGTCTCTTGAGTGCTGGGATTAAAGGTGTGGCTACCACTGCCTGTCCTCTTGGGCTAACGAGTGGCTTAGGTGTGTGGCTAACTAGTGGCTTAGCTCTTAACTAGGTGTGTGCTAACTAGTGGCTTAGCTCTGCGAGTTGTTCTTCTGGTAAGGTTTATTTTGTCAGATAATAAACAAAAT